ACATTATTCTGTTTCTGGATTGTCATTGAAACTCCCTTTTTACGATCCTGTAATTCCATAATTCAGGATAGACTAGATCAAACTGAGCGTTTACTGGCTGCATGCCCTTCCTGACACCTACAGGGAGTTAGTAGCAGATATTTTCTCCGATATAGAAACATCTGCCATTACCTGGGATTGAATTCTCAATCTCCCGAGTTGGAGACTTTACCTCTAGGCCACTGTGCTGCTCTTTTTCTGGATTATTGTTACCCCCTATTAATTGGTTAGGACAAGACGGCTAGAGTATGATGGTCTGGTCATGATCTTTACATTATCGTCTTCATCACTGTTATTACCATAGATATTTTAACTTTTATACAGGTTGGCAATTTGCAGCCACAATTGGGACTGAATTTCAGTTGCTAAGTGATGTCATTAAGCGAGTCATTACGTGACCAGATCATCCATTTCCCATTTGGAAACCTGGTAATCCTACACATTCCCAATCCCAGCTCTTCAAGATCTGGCCCCACTTAGCATTTTGGAGGTCAACTCAGAAGATCCACCAGGAGTGGACACCTGCTTATCAAGAAAAAAACATTTAAACTGTTCAAATATTGAGTTATGATCCATTCACTTTTTGCATAGTTTACGTGCCTCCCTTGTCCTGCTCCCCAAATCGAAGAGATCATTAGTTATTCGAATTGTGTCATTTCAGGTTTGACTAGTTTCCTGCTGTGCATTGGTACCCAAGAATGGATGCATTTATGCTTGCTATTTTTGTTTTTAATTTAGGGGGTGTCCCACTCTAGTCCAAGCCTTACCAGGACCCAGCACCCAGGTCAGCGCAGGCAGCAACCACACAGCTGTTCTGTTGATGGATGGACAAGTCTTTACCTTTGGAAGTTTCTCTGTAAGCCCTTTTCCTTAAAATGACTTTCCTTGTCCAAACCAATTCCTTAATGCAGAACGTTTTCCATCTTTAGAGAAACTTAACTATCTTGGGGGTGGGACAGTGTTAAATTTAAGATTGTTATCAATGTTTAAAACTGGAAAGATTCAAGACATAATTTTTCAATTAGAAATGAGTCCACAGCCCATTATCAGCCAAAGCCAGATTCACTTCTAGTCTTTTTGACCTTGGGACTCTAACTCTTAACAATCCCCAACCAGAAGAATTACAATTGAATACTAATAATGAAGGAACGCGGTAGCTAAGACGCTGAGCATGTCGATCAGAAAGGTCGGCAGTTCGGCGGTTCGAATCCCTAGTGCCGTGTAACGGAGTGAGCTCCCATTACTTGCCCCAGCTTCTACCAACCTAGCAGATCGAAAGCATGTAAAAGTGCAAGTAGAAAAATAGGAACCACCTTTGGTGGGAAGGTAACAGCNCTAAGCAGAGTCATCCACTGTGACTCTGGCAGCAACTACCTCAGCCTTTTTCCTTTTACATTGTTTTTCTTTTCATGATGACAGTGGTGAGGCTCTGCCTCCCCTGCCTCCCCTGACTGCACGTCACTGGTACAATCACACATTTTACCTTGATTGAAGCACCTGCAAATCTTGCTAGCTGCTTAATGTGTTGGCCCTTTTTTCCAATAATGGCACCTACTGCCTGTGTTGGGATGAACAAATTCACCACTTCTTGCTCTGGCAACTGTGGATAACAAAATAAGACATCATGTACCTTGGGAGAAGACAAGGAGTTGAGAATGATTTTTGGCTCCCAAGTTGGGTTATCTTGTACAGTTGAAATGATTTGCATGCAGGAACAGAGAAAAAGAGGAAGAAAAGCCAGCTTGTTAATGTCAAATACTACTGGAAAAAAGCAAATGTTTAGTTGCGCTTCAGCCTTACTTCATCCTGAAGAAAATTACGAAATTGTGGGGAAGATAAAAGATTATAACATGGTTCCTGTATTCCTTTATATCTCATTCAATTGGTAATCCCACAGCACATAATACATTGTAAGAAGCAGACTCTCAAGATACCCTAATGACTCTTTGATGGCTACTATAAAAGGTTCTACACCTAGAAAATAAATATTTTCTACATAGATATACACAAATTAGAACAATAATTTCATGTATAAATATGCATATTAAACTCTTTTTTACGATCCTACTTATTAATAAAATATAACAGGGAAGTATTTTATTAAATGGTATCCAATTCACATTGTATATTACTGACCATCATCATCTTGTACCATATTAAGAACACTATATTAGCTTCTATAGGACAGGAGATAGAAGAACAAGATCAACAAGAAGGAAGATCAGTAATTTTCAGTACAGATAAACCTCATTTAGCTACTGCCTCAGGGAGCAACCATTCAAAGTTACAATAGTAATGAAAAAATGACTTTGCAACCATGCCTTTATTTACAACCTTTGTGGTGTCAAGCAGGAGTGTGCATAATATAACATACAGAAAAACCCAGGTTCAATCCCTGCAATTTCTTATTAATAAAATGGGTCTCATAAAACTTTTCCGCAACCTTGGAGAACCACTACCAATTCAACTAGATAACTTTGGGTTGTACTAATAGTACAAGTATTGTATGTTCATGCGTAAAACATTATCAAAGTAGCAAAACTAATTCTGAGACATGATAAATAGCACTTTGCTATCAATTGTCCTCAAGAAAACTATAGTCAACAACTATTATGAGACCTCTGTACTTCTATACTTCATCTTGACTGGCGAGTCGCCCACTGAGAGACAAAATGTTGCAGTTGGTGTAGGTACCTCCAGAACTATAAGCAAAATGTGTAAAGTGAATACTACATGTAAGGACAGAGAAGATCTGATTTGTAGCTTTATCAGGCAGCTAAGTTACTTTCTCTAAACAGGACTGGGTGAATCAATGTTTAGAAAACTGCCACAGTGCAGAATCATTTGACGGCAGCCTAAAAGCCTGCAAAGCAAAAGGTGGGCATGATACAAAACAAGGTGCATGAAAGGGTGGCATCCAGACAGAAGAGGGTAACGCACTTACGGAGTGCAGATGGGGATATGTGCCAGTCAGCGAGGCTCCATTAAGGCCCGAAAGGTATGCTGCTTGGCTCTACGGCAGGAAAAAAAGTTAACATCAGTGGGGGCAGGCCAGAAGCTAAGGGCGTAAGTACCAGGAAATGTATGCGAAAGGTTTTTTTGAGATATACTGGACTGAACCCCAAATACCTGAGAAACTATTCCTCTAGGTTCTTGCACAAAAGCCTTTATGTGTCTTACAAAATTGGCCTCTATAACAAGCTGAGCTTCCTCAATAACATCTCCAGAAACCTGAACCTGATCTCCTTTCTATTTCCAATCAAAAGATAATGTAGTTTTGATTTTATATGCTATTAAGATCTATTAAAGGGCTTCTATTGTCTCATATTCATTTATTTTTATAATTGTACATTTGTACCAGTTTATTGCTTCACTGTTTTGAGTTCTCCATGTAATTATGGTTATTATTGTCATAGTTGTGAACCATTGTACAATCTTAAAATTAAATAACATATGAATCAGTCTTATGCTGAATCAAACCACTGGCACAACTTGATCAGGGCAGCAGTAGCTCTCCAAGATCTGTCTAGGATTCCTTATTCACAGGAGATGCCTTGGAATTCTATGTATATAGAGTCCTACCACCAAGCAACTGGATCATTCCTTCCATATATTCTGAAGGCCAGTGTAAGACTCAGAAAGGAACAGTGACTTTAACATATGAGAACCAGAAATGTACAATGAAAATCATACTCATTCGCATGGAATGATATACTGGTAACAAAATAAGAATGTACCTTTTCCCAAATGTAGTCACAGATCTATAAAGGAAGATTTTATATGTTTTGTTTTCAAATTAAGTTCACGTAAAACAAAAACGTATCTTAGAACCCTTCTTCTACAAACAAATGCCACTAAAAAAGACACTTAGCCACAAAAGGCAAATGTTAGTTGGCTTTCAAAGAGAGGTGCTAAATAAATATGTTGTTTTATCTTGTTTGAAAGTGTCCTTCACAATATGAAAAATAATCTGAGAAATGTGTGTCTACTACCATACTGTCATCTGTGAAAATCTTGCTTCCATTTTGCTGCAACTGAACTTGCTGTTTCTCTTCATTTACAATTGGAGATTACAAACCTGATATTTCCCTTACAGATTAAAACATGTTCTTATACACAGCCAAAGAAGAAAGGAAGCCTAATACTATGTAACCCTTATTTCCTAAAAAGAACTGACGGCCAGCATATCAACAAAGAGCCTAAGCACTTGAGACTCTTATAGAAAAGGACTTGGCAGGTAGGCATTCTTCCAAATAAAGCACTGAAGTGCAACCTTGTAGGCAATTTTAGAAAATAATCATGATAGGCCTTCAGTTCTTTGATTATGTTTATTTTCTAAGATTGCTTACAAGGCTCTTTTGGAGCCTAGAACTCTTCTTGGAAACAAAGATGATACTGAACCTGCTTTATAAAACTTTGGATTCTTAAATGTACATACGTACATATGTACATATCAGAGGTGGGTTCCTATTGGTTCCTACTGGTTCGGCTGAACCGGTAGTAACTTGGCGGCCTGGGTCGCTGGAAGCGGCAGTAACGCAGGCCTGCCACACCCCAAACTGGTTATCTCGCTGCCGCCATAGATGCCGCCATTTTGTTTTTGCCTTCTGCGCAGAACAATTTTTGTTCTACTGCGCATGCCCGCACAGCGAGCATCAAGCAAGCGTGCGTGCAGGGCGCATCCCTGAGCAAACCAGCAGTAGTGGCAGCCGGAACCCACCCCTGATACGTATGTATAAAAGCCAATATGGGGAAGGGAACTTGGCAATCTTCAAGACAGAGGTCTGTATACCTACTGGCAACTTGGGAACCATGTTGTTGGCTATGCCTACAAATGGACATGTGTGTCTACTTACAGCAAAAGGGTTGTAGGGAGCAGTAATAGCAGGTCTACGGGCTGCAGCTCCTGAGGGAAGCATGGATAAACCTGTTGAGAAGATGCCCAATGCATTGAGATTAAGTCCAGGGATGAGATTGGCTTGTTGCTAGAAAGAAACACAAAGAAAAATGGGATAAACAATGTAATCTGACAGGGAAAGAAAGAAGATTTTATTTAGCAAGTTCTGGAGCATCTCAGGTTCACCTCAGTCTTTATTAGGCTTCTTATATGATTAGTAATTATTTGGTTTTGACCAGTGTTTCTCAACCTTGGACTACCTGAAGATGTGTGGACTTCAACTCCCAGAATTCCCACACATATACAGCAGGAGGGGAACTTACATTGATTGCTACCACGTCATTCTCATAGGCTTCCCGCAGTTTGTTCATTATCTCTACTTCAGCATTGGTACAGGCCTCAATGGTACCCTTCACAGTGATGGTTCTTTCAGGGTTATAAATGGTTAAATCCTGCAAACTGAACAATCACAAAATAACAAATGAATATCCTTTCAATACAAAAAAAAAAAGGATTTATAGCTAGCTCTAAAACGTGGTTAATAGTGCAAGTTTGCCAGAATGAATCTTTTTAAATAAAATCCAAGCAATTAAATTATATTGCTGGGTGGGTAAAATCCAACAATTAGAAAAGCACCCTATTTAGACAGAAGGCAATAGTGAATGGAAGAGTTGACGTTGGAATCAACAAGCCACCAATAATTTTATGAAGTTCTTAAATTTATACTAGGAGATTTGAGGCCTTTAATTTCTCACTGCAACACTTTGAATCACACTGGATGGTAGAGTTGCTTGTGAACTGAAGATTTTGAGAAATGCCATGTGCAAAAAGACAAGCTCATGTTCCTAGGCTACTTATTGCATTAATAAATCACTGGGTTTTTTAGATGAACTTTGTACTGTTCCCAAACTAGAAACAGTAGCATAACTTGTGTTGGAGAAAGGGAATAATTTAGCATGCATCTGCTGTAAAATACTTCCCATTGTAAAGATTATCACTCTGGTTTTATTATTTTCAATCATTTTAATTTGCACTAACTATTTCATTACAGAGAGGTAAGTAGACAGGTTGGTGGAATGGATGGATAGATGGATGGATAGAGACAGTGAAGAGACAAAGGCAGGAAGACAGTGGCGGCTGGAAAGCAGGCCCTCAGCCTTATAAATAAATTAGTATTATAGAATTATAGTGCTGTTATGTTTCTTCATGTAAGGATATTTTCCTGTTTCACTCATTCTTCCAAGCCACATACACATGTGGTGTTTTACTGACATATTATGTATTTTATTTTATTTAAAAGCTGATGTAGTTTATGAATTATTTAAATTTTGTACAGCTACCCACATACTAAAAGGACTCTGGGTGGCAAACAGAATTGAATATGCCATGCAAATTTACAACTTAATTAAACGTTAGCACTATAAAACTACAATGTTTCTGGGTTCAATGGAATGTAGATGTCTCTCTTTAAACTAGGCTAAGACAGTACGTGTGAGTTCTGCTTAGAAGGAGGGTGAGCAAGCTGTGGATCTAGAGTGCACCATGCAGCGGAGAGTTGTGTCCAGCTTTCCCCAACCAGGTGTCTCCTAAAAGTGCTGGACTACAGCTCCCATCATCCCCAGCTAACACAGTCATTTGATGTTCTGCATGGGGAGAATGGGTGTTAAAAGTCCAACGTACCTGCAGAGTGTTAGGTTGGGGAAGGCTGGTCTTGCCTGATGGCAGCAACATTCACTGGTACTCACGGAGAAATAGTGATTTTGGTCCCCGTATCTTGCTCAATTTTCTTCAAGTTTCTTCCTTCTTTGCCAATCAATCTTCCAACCAAGCTGTTGTGTGCTAAGATTTTCAAAGGAATCTCTTCAGCCCTAAGGAGTATGAAAAACATACAAAAGGTCAAGAAGTATATGGAGATGCACTTCAAAATTTTCCAACCAGATTTTTTGGGGGGGAAAACAGTGCTGGATACTCCATCATCACCATCACTCAATGCTGTAACCAAGGAAGGGGAGCCTACTGTCAAGACTTTGCTTGTGGGCATGAAAAATCAGTTTTCTAAAAACTAACCTATATATTCTGCAATTAGTTAACAGCAGAATAGTATCAATAAGCAATTTTACTACAAGAAGGAAGTCATGTTGTTGGGAAGCAGGAGGTTGTCTGAGGTAGACTTTAAAAATTAATGGAGATGTGTTTTTCTAGGGAATTACAGATATACTTGGTATTACTCCAACCCACAAAAAATTTCCTGATGTGGAACTCTTCTGTGTATTCCAGTAATTTGAGTCAGTGAAATATAAGGTGAATACAGACAGGTTCAATCAATGGTGCAGTTTAAAAATAAGAGTAAGCTAATGGGGTTTACTATTCAACTTAACGTTAGCATTTCTCTGTACTGAACAAAGTAACATGCTTTCGAATTGCTAGGTTGGCAGAAGCTAGGACAAGTAACAGGAGCTCACTCTGTTACACGGCGCTAGGGATTCGAACAGCCGAACTGCCGACCTTTCTGATCGACAAGCTCAGTGTCTTAGCCACTGAGTCACTGTATCCTCAAAACTATAATGAAGCCAAAATCAGAAATGGCCAAAAAAAAAGGGTAGGGAAGAAAGAGGCAACATATTGTAAAGGCAGTTTTACTTAATTGCTTTACAATGATACACTAACCACAATTTCTAACTAAAAGTTATCTGCTCCAAGATCTTTTCCATTTCATGAACCCTGTGTGTATGTATAACATATACACAAATGAGCCTTTTTGCCTAACCCATGGGTGAAAGCCTTTACGGTTCAACCAATCTGTCTGCATACATCTATAACTGCATTCAAGCACATGTGTATTCATTACCTCATACAGATGCAATCCTTCCCAACAGTATTATACTATGACAGATAGTGACTTTGCAGTATCATGTCTCCACCTACCAATGGTTTCTAGCTTTGTTATTCATGCTTTCAAAATAATTTAATTTAAAATGCTGGTGATTTAAACCTCATGCTTTATAGCAGGGGTGTCAAACTGGAGGCCCAGGGACTAGATACGTCATGGGCAGACCACACCCATCCCAGCTCTGCGAAGAGAAAAAACATTGTGATACATCACATGACGGCAATGTGATGTGGTGAGTTTGACACCTGTGCTTTATACCAAATGAATTTCCTTGATAGATAGTGCATCAAGGACATCAGGCCAGATCATCTTGTCCAAATAGCAAAGAAAAATCAATTTATGAACTGTCAAAAATATGTTAACAAAAATCTTTTTGAGCATCCTTTACAAAAATTGTATCCCCTTTCTGGTTAAGTTTAGGGTGCGTTTTTTTCTGTTTTTCTTCAGAGCTTTGACTTCAACTGTAGCCAAGTAAAATATTTGCAAAGGCCAAGTAACACTACAACACAAGAACAGAAAAGAAAGTCTATACTCCTTAAAGTTTTTTGTCTGTAGCTTTGATAACTGGTTTCATATAAATGTTGTTTGTTATTTAGAGTTCTAGAGATCATCTTCCTCTTGCATATATTTTTTTTAAAGGATCCCAACTTCTGTGACAACACAAGAACTACTTACGATTTTGTTTCTTCAGCCTCCTTCTGCATAATATCAAGTATCATGCGACATGCTTCTGAACACCCTTCAGGGGTGGCATGAATGGTTATTGGTTTCTCGGCAGCACCAGCATTTTCTTTTCGATGGATGTCTACCCTGCAGCAATAGAATACATACAAAGAAATCTGCTAGGGATCAGAGGATGGTGCCCAACTAGACACGTTGATAAAACAGGCAAATAAAAAAAATAGTATTACAAGGATACAGAAAACTATTAATTTGCTTTCAAGGCTAATGCAAGGGAAGTATTAAGACTTTGGAATCAAATAGATTTGAGTCACATGTTGTTCCAAAACAATTGCTTTGGTAATGGTGTGAATTTGTGTGCTCCTTCCTCCACTCTGACTCTTTGATTTCCTGATTCATGACAAATCATACTTTATTATTATATTTGAAGAGCATTTGTTGGTTTGCATCCATTACCCATAAAAGCTTGCTCTTTTCTCAAGTTCAGAAAATAATTTGTTTAAACTGAGCCAAGCTTAAATAAAGGGGAAATAAAGAATGCACAGCTACCTGTGTCTGAATGAGATACTCAAATCTAACCATCTCTACAGGAGCTAAAACAAGATTTCCCCCTTTCTAGTGACATCATTTATAAAAAAAAGTATCTCTTTAATAGAAATCCGGGAAATGATAGACACCTCGTCTGTATTTTAATTCAAGATTAGCACACCAAAGGTCTTTTGTCCTTTGTCAAATGTGTGGGTGGCTTTCACAGGCATTTACTGACTTTAAGAACACATGCTTTTTGATATTAACAATTGTACAATTCAGTACAATTTACATATACAGAAAAGCAAAGCATTAATATTAATTTTGGATTGTGGGTGACCTTTCAGGAAAAAAAAGGAAGATCTTGTAAGGCTTTTGAAAGAGGCTAATGCATGTAAAAATGTAAAAATGATTGTCTCCCATGGCTGATTGTCTATGACCAATAACTCATCATGTAATTTAGACAGTTCTTTTCACTTGCAATAGTGGTGAATCTGTAGCTCGGGTGTAGGATGAGGGTGAAGGTTCGTTCTCCAAACTTGTGGGTTGATTTCTGAATGTTTCGTTACCAGGGTAGGTAACATCTTCAGCAGACTTTAGGGTATGGAAACTCCACTGAAGATGTTACCTAGTCTGGTAACGAAATGTTCAGAAAACAACCCACAAGCTCAGAGAACAAACCTTCTCCATCAGTTCTTTGCACTGCCATGCATTTCTGCCAATGAAGATCTTAAGGAAACGGGCCCAACTATCTGACTCTGCATGAGAACAATAGGACATGAAAGAGACTGCCAGACTGAACAATTAAAAATGCCATTCGGTTTTTCCTGAGTTGGCCTTCATTTAGTACTAGTATCAGTAGTTTCATAGAGAAGGGAACAATATTGATAGAGGAAAAAGAAAAATTGGAGTTTACAAAGAGACAGAGAATTAGAAAGACATACTAAAGGGGGGGGGAGAGAAATCTTTTTTGAATCTGCAATTATCTCCAAAAACACATAGCCTTCTAAACAGGTCATCTTTGATGGAATATGGCTGACAGAGTAGTTATGTTGAGACTATGTACAGAGGGAATGAACAGCAAGCATTTATAGTTACAATTACAATAGATGCAGCCACTTGCAGGAAGATATATGGACCAATATGTGTAAGTACAAGCATTTCTAGGTATCATCATATAGTTTGGTTCTAAAAACACTACCATCATCTTACAATGGCACTTGGCAAACATATCAAAAATGTTGTATTTATTTCAAAAGTGGAATAAATGTCAAAAGGGGAGAATGGGCACAATCCTGCAGTCTAGGCCCTAATTCTTTTTGTGAAATAGAATAGAAACAACAGAAAATGAATAAAAAGTCATATATATTCTTTAGTTACAGTATCATTCACAGTATTTTTAGGAAAATAATTACCTAGTAAAATGATATAAAATTTCAATTAATAATTTGAACAGTACTATATACATAACCATTGCCGTTTCAGATACCAAGTATTACAGAATATAGTGACTGCAATTCCTCCTTGCTCTACTCAATAGGTGAGCTTGGGAAGGTTTTCTTTTAAGGGTGGCCTACAAATATTAAGTAAATAAATGGCATTCTTGTTTCATGCAGGCTGACATACAATTTGCCTTTAGTAGCATACCAAGCATCGTAATGCAAGATGTTCCTAATGATTATGGAGATAAATGTACACAATTTATATTTAAATACAGGTAAGAAAGTAACTTCCAAGCTCATGCCTATTTGTACTGCCTCCAACAGATCACTGAAGATATTATTATACTTAATTAGAGAGCTAACAATGAGATGAAGGATCAAATAGTCATTCCACAATGATTTATACTATTTATGACAAACATATTTCTAATCTCATCAGTTGGCTTAAAATATTTTTCTTTGAATAGTAGAAATCATCCAGAGGTGGTTGAAAAGAAGCAGAAAAAAATATGTGGAATGGGGAAAACATGCTGGGTTACAGTAGTGTCTCACAACAGATGAGTAGAACCTGTTCATAATTTTGAAAAACAAGATGAGTGAAGCTGACAGGAGAACCATTAACAGGACTACAATAACTATTAAAACATTCCTAAGAATTTGTACAAAACACATCAATAGTGAGTTAAAAGGCTTTTACACAAGGTAACATGATGAGCTCACAGTTCAGCATTTGGTCCAAAGATCACAAGCTGGGGACATGAAGGCTACAAACAGAACCCTTAGAGAAGGAAATTAAACCATCTGTGATACTTACTTGGACTGGGTTTGCTTAGTAAGGTTCTTTATGGTCAAGCCCTCCTTTCCTATGATTGCACCAACAAATTGCGTGGGGACCAGGATCCGTAGTGGGAAATCATGCTGTTTGGACTGCGAGGAGCCCCCAGAGGAGGGGCCCTGCTCCCTGGAAGAGTGGCCCCCACGGCGGGATCTCTGGGGGGGCTGAGGGGAGTTGACCTCATCATCTGGGATGTAGGAAATCTTGAAGGAATAGTTCTCAAACTGGTGACCACTAAGTTTCTCAATTGCTCTAGAAATACAAAGAAAGGAGTGGGGAAAATAATTACTATAAGAAATGTTTACTTCCACACACCAGTCTCTGTAACAACCTGTCTCAACATGTGGCATTTGCATAGGAAGGTCCATAATCACCACCTATCCATATACCCCAAATAATCATGGGAATTATAATTTGGAGAACATTTTTTGAAAGAAAATTATGCCAATAACATTCCTGGTTCCCTAGTTGGCATTTGTACTACCACCAATACAACAGATCACTGAGGATATTATCAGACTTAATTAGAGAACTAACATTGAGGTTCTTTATTTCAATATGCTTACTAAAATAGATGCATATGACATTCCTAATGTATGAATGCATATCTCGATCCTAATGGTTGATTTCACCTCTTGGAAATCACAAATACCATAATAAAACACAAGAGGAATTTTGAAATACTGAACATTCAAAATCAGAAGAAAAATTCAAATTATCTCAGAATATCTAAATATTATATATGAGCACATGATCTCAAAAGTAGGTATCTATCAGGAACCAATATTTTCTATTGAAATGGCATTTTGATGTTTATAATTGTAATCCTGACTTAGACATAATTTGGTAGCCATGTGCTTTCAAAGTACAGAATTGTAACATATTAAAAAAAAACCATCACAAGTAGATTGGGCATGAACATTTCTTTGAAGTAGGTATGTAAAACTTCATGCCTACAAGCCTGATCTGGATCACAGGGACTTGAATGAGATTCCACTTCCCCAATCCATGTCTCTTACCTCCCAAAATGAGCACTTACCTTACAGAGGAAGATAAAAGGTATTGAGATCAAGCAATAATCGCCTTTGCAGGTATTCTAGTTTTTATTACAGTTACAACAATTAATCAGTGGAACAACTTGCCTCCAGAAGTTGTGAATGATCCAACACTGGAAGTTTTTAAGAAGATGTTGGCTAGCCATTTGTCTGAAGTGGTGTAGGGTTTCCTGCTTAAGCAGGAGTTGGACTAGAAGACCTCCAAAGTCCCTTCCAACTCTGTTATTCTGTTCTATTCTGTCACCAAGTGGCATCTATGTTTTGGTCATTCCACATTTTGCTGAAACAATTCATGCAGAACAACATAGGAAATATAGACTCCCTACTTCATAATGTATGACCAATAGCAAATATCTTTTCAATTTCAGCATCTGCCCCCCTGGAATACTATTCATTCTGGAATTTACCTGACTGTTTAAAAGAACTTTGAAAACATGATTCTTTCCCCCAGAACTTGAAGCATGGTGGAACTTCTGTATTTATTCTTTCAGTTATGGTTAGAATGGTTTCCCTCCCCACCCCCAGATAGTTGGGATTTCTTATTTATATTTTATTAGTGCTTTTATTATAGGCTGTCTAGATACAGGATTGGATGGCCTACAACTTGAATAAAGAAATAAAATAAGCAGTAAGGTCTCTCTCCTTCTCTCTGTTCATCTTGCACAGAGAATGAAAGTGAGCAGGAGGGCACTAAGGGAAGAACCAAGTTTTGTTGCTTTAAGTCCCACCCCAACATCTTTCTATATGCTCATGAAGGAAGCGGGTTTCAGTCTTTATTCTGAATGGCAGTTGTGCAGCCCTGTGTCAAAATCGAAAAATCTGCTAATGTTTCAGACTATCTTCAGTCATTTGGTTCAGAGACTTTCACTTCACTGACAAAACAAAGACATCTATTTTTAAAGATACATTAATCAAAAAATTTTATGAAATCAAAAGTACAAACTGCAGTTTAGCTCTTTCAAAATATTACATGCTGAAAGGCAGTCACACATCAAGGTGGGTGATTTGGTGAAAGACCTCTATATAGAGGAAAAGAGGCAGAGATATATAGTGCATTTCCAAAACAACATAGAAAATAAAATTCTAATAAAAATAGTTGATATTTTAGTATGCATTGCTGATACAAGTTATTAATACTTCTAAAAAACAAATAATACATCTTGATTAGAAGACAGGGCAGGACAAAAGGTAAGCAATTCTAGATACCCGCTGTCTTTGAATGTGGATCCTGTTTTGTTAAATTATTGCAGAAATTAGATGTATTAAATAATTCCCCTCAATTGCACTGAGTGGTTTTCCATAGTTACCTTAAACCTGTTTATTTTTTTAAAGCACAGATTAACCAAATATATTTTATTAATGCCTTGAATGACATTTGCAAATGATTCAACAATATTGTGTTACAGAGCAGGTACTGTGTAGAATGGCTGTTTATAATGTATGAAATCAAATATATTCCAAGAATTATTAGGAATCAGCAGAAATAATTTTTTTGCTTACATCCAGCTACATGATAGTTATGATTAAATATTACTGGTTTTTAATTCTAAGGGGTGTATTATTTTAGGATGTGTTGTAGGTTAGATGGAAGGGCAATAATACTTTGAAGAAATAGCAAGGGATTTAGAGATAGGATATAAACAAGCAATGGCCGAAATGATAGTGGAAATGAATGGCACTGTTTTGTTGCAAGTATTCTGGAAGCTGTGAAGAAACGGAGAAAGATTTCTTTCTCTGAAGGATTTGCTAACCTGGAAGGTCATCATCTCTGCTGGTTGTTAAAAAGGCTGCCTGCCAGCTGAGTCAGCTCTCTGGTGTGGTAGCAAAATGAAATGAAGTCCAGGAACTGACACGTAAGCTATCCTTAGATCTAGAATGGCAATGGAGGCTGCAGTGACAGGATGCAATTCAATAGCTGCCATTGCTCCATTTGGCTGGAGCTAAGGTTAAAGTTTGAACCAAAAGGCAGACAAACGTCAGTCTAGCAACCAAGTAGGGGCTAATCTAACATGAATGTCCAGAATATGAGGCCTTAATTCACACCTGACTGGAGCTTCCAGTAACATCAGCATCCCAAAGTTGGTTCTATCAATTGTGAAGAAGGAGCTTAAGGGGTGCAAGTTGGATTCTAGATTTGTTAGGCTTCCTAAAAGTATGAGGGATGCCTAATCTAAGGTAAAATGTAGGCCAGATATGAGGCCCTTGAATGGTGGGCACTGTAATAGGTTGCTATGGTTTGGCCTTTCCTAATGTTGTGGTTTTTAGAGTACTAGAATGAAAAGAGGACATGTGGAACAATGATTGTGAAAGGGTCAAATACATCACTAGATTGTTGGCCATCCAGTTAATTGATGAGATTGTGAGGTGGCTATTTTCCCTTGGGAATGCAGAGAATGGGTTTGGTTTACTAAGAGAAATTGGTAAAGTGAACCAAAAAAGATGAAAAAGTTGAATGACTGAGTCTGGGTATAAGATACATTTGGGACTATTCCCAAGGCATACAGAATACTTGCCTGGCTACTATGACCATTTCACACTCCAAACGTTTCTTCAGATTCTTAACTATTTGCGCATGGGGTCTAGAGTGGTGTCTGAGGAGACATTTTGCATACCAGCTGGGATTCTTTTGCTCTTTGATGAATCTATACCTTATGCAGTTTGCACATAAATTCTATGCTGTTCCTAGTTCCTTCAGAATACAGGTGGCAGCATGAAAGGCAGAAGCTAACATCAGTCACTGCTTATTTGAAGAGGTCTGCAGAAGTCTTATTAGATGTCTCAACTGCCTCTGATATCATCAACTACCATATCTTTCTGCACTGCATGCAAGATCTGGGTACTGGAAGCACTATCTTATAGTGTTTTGGTCTAATAAGTGGTTGTGTTACTGGCAGTATAACAGTAGCAAAAGCATAAAAGTGGATAGCATGGCAGTTTTATTTTAATATCTGGACATTGTAGATTCTGGATGGAATGGTTTGAAATTAAATCCAATCAAGATAGCATTACTGATTGTTCATTGAGATTCTTGTCAACTCCAGTGTTGTCTCTTGAGACAAAAGCTCTAAGGGAGCAGGTCTATGACTTAGAGATTCTTCTAGCTTCATAGACACTGCTGGATGGGCAGGCTTGGCTAGTATACTAGGTAGTAGCAGCCCTGAGTACTCTGAAATAGCAGCTAATGTCTTCAGTATTGCATAGCTGGACTTCTGCAATATGATCTACCTGGGGCTACCTTTGAAGACCACCTTGAAGATATAGTTGATACAAAATATGGTGGCTTGTTTAATGGCAGATACTGGTTACTAGTAACCTGTTACATTTGCATTTCACACTAGTTGCTCCTAAGTTACTGGGTACAATTCAAGTTTACTTTTCAGTGGGAGACCCAACCGTATGGGTCTGCAAGGCTTTAACACCAGGGCTTGCTGTATCTACTATTTCCCTGCAGTTCTTCCAGGGAGCATCCAATGCAGGGGTGTCAAACTTGATTTCATTGAGGGCCTTTGCTGTTTCCAGGGTGGCCCCGTGGGCCAGATCTAAGCATCCTGCGGCCCGATCCAGCCTTGAGTTTGACACCCCTGATCTAATGGTTAATATCAAATATTATTTATTATGGTTGTTTTATCATGTTATTATATTGTTTTATGATATTACTTCAACATCATTTAATAAATTATTCATAATCTCATCATAGATCTTTTAATTGTTGATTTATAATTCTAAACCACCGGGATCTCATGGCAGATACAATGGTATGTTAAATAAATGGCTTGCTCCAGTAGTTTCAACAGAATTTGACCATAATTCTGAGTAGAGTTACTTAGAAAACAATCTGTGGCCTATGAAATGAAGCCCATTTCAGTTGAATGAGAGAAGCTGAATTTTTATTAGATAAATCAGAACTATGATTGAACATTTCAGACAAATTGGAAAGACTCCAAGAACAATGAAGATGACAATGAAGATGATCAAGGGTTAGTCATCAAAGTCCTATAAACAGAGATTGAAGACTGGGAAAGTTTAGTTTTGAGAAAGAAGAGTGAGGAGATATGATGACATTCTTTAGATAGTTGGAAGGATGTCACTCAGGAAAAAGATAAAGACATGATCTCTATTATTCTAAATGCAGAAAAAATGATTTAAGCTTCAAGAAAGCAGATTCCAACTGAGTTTTAAGGGGAAAAAATCCTATAAAAGAGCAGTTTAACAGTAGAATCAATTGCTTAGAAAGGTTGCAGACTCCATTTTACTGGGTATGTTGAACTGGAGGCTAGACAAAAATCTGTCAAGTGTACTTCATTTGGGATTCCTGTACTGTGCAGAGACTTAGACATGGTGACCCAAATTTCTGGTTCTATGATTTCATAAGTAGGACACAATCCAAGGTTGCTCATTATTCTGCTATGGATACACATGGGAATATATTTGCCAATCCTTTCCTTGGCACAGATTTCCTTTTTTCAAGTAGTGCTTTAAGAAGTATTTAGCATTTCATACATGGCACTCCAATCTTATAATATTTATTCTGCAATGCTCTCAAAATCAAAGATCATTAGCTGATTAGCTGTGACTCAGCAGAAAATTGAGACAGCAGCAGATTGAAATTTATGGCATAACAGCAACAGGGGTATTCTGTGTCACTTTTTAAACTTGTAAATTCAGAAATAAAATTTAAGAGAACCTGCCAAGAGAATAAACTAAAACAGCAAAGACCAGGAGAAATGGAAATTGCAACTGAAACTGTCATAGCCACTTACACTTTTGCTTCTTCTTTTGTTGCATATGTAACGTTGACAACTGCTGTCTCTGATTCTGTGTTAACTAAGAAACCAAAACAAAAGAAATATACTTGTGTGGTAACCAACTGAGAAAATTTCAGAAAGGTGTATTTTATTAAATAACATCAGGACAAACATTTTTGTAGAACCTTGTACAAAGACAAAGTTAATAGCAGCTGAACAAGAAAATACAGATTGTGCAAATTTTCAATCCAAAAAAACAGGAATAGGGCAAATATTAATGTGGCCAACTTTTTAAAGCAAACTAGTGAAGTCTGCACATCTCAAATTAATAGGCAGATACTTTTTTTGCTGACTTTGAATCAAATCTGATTCTTGGCAGCTGCTTGGACAAGGCTCAAGCTTTCTTGGCAAGACTTCCAAAGTGATTTGCCATTGCCTCCTTCCTGGGGCTGAAAGTGTGTGTGACTGGCCAAAGGTCACACAGTTGGCTTCATGCCAAAGATGGGACTACAACTCAAGGTTTTCTGATTTCTAGTCCAGTGCTTAAACCACTACTCCGATACAGCTCACAATAGGCTACTCAGAAGATATCTATCCTTCCGATTGTATATTTCTGCCATTTTAGAGATATGATTCTAGGTTAAGATTGCTTTAAAGTATGTTAGAGAAAATTGCACAGAATAATATTTTATATAGGAAAACTGTACAAAAATAGATTTTTTTATATTTGGATCTTTTTAAAAAACTGAAAATAAATTCTGAAACTGGATGATTTTTTTTACTAAATCATGTGAAATTTACAAAATTGGAACACATTATCATTCTATCATTTATTTAGTTCATATGATATGGGAAGTAGAATTCAAATTGTTGTGAGGCTTGGTGTCTAACCATTCCACATTTTCATAAAATGGAATGCCACAATCTGTACCTAAGATGAAGTGAACCAATTTGCAAACAGTCTGAGAGCCAGCTAGTTTCCATTATTGACATGATCTAAATAATTCTATGAACTAGTACCTTCATTACAGTCATCTTCTGGTTTAAAGAGATACTTTTAATTAGAAACAGCTTTGAGTTTCTTGCTACAGTACATAAACTGATGAAATATGCAGGCTCAAAATACGAAGTGTTAGCAGTCATTTCTGTAACAAGATACTGTGTTCATTGACCTAGCATTTCCTGAATAGCAAGAAAGAAGTAATCTATAATAAGACATTTAATTTGGCAACATTCTAAATGTTAAAGAAATCGTGGCAAGTAACAATCATGCTGAAAATCTCCACTCACACCAACTTAAAACCTCAAGAAAACTTTTATATTTCAAAGAAAAAAATTGAGTCTCAGAACAGGATGTTGATATCTGTTCTCAACAGAAACAAATAACTGTGAATAAATACATACATACACAAATGCAGAACAATTAGATCCAATGGCAATGAACAAGCAAATCATGTGTTCTTTTTGTTATAGTTACTGTAACCCATGTTGTATCATCTAAAGAGAATTAACCGGCTGGGAATTCCCTTCTCACTTCTAAATAATGCATATATTCTCATCTGAAATTATTAATTGGTTTAGAACCACAGAGAAATGTCAGAAATGTGGAAATAACTTGGCTACTTCACCATGCACCTATCAGTCATCAAAATATCTATAAGAAAATTCCCATTGGAGTGTTTTTAAAATGTTTTTAATAAAAGAAATGCTAGAATTCTTTAAGGTGACATAAAAATTGCTTAGTCCATAGTTTTACTATAGGCTAACAAGGTTTCTGACTCTTGGAAAGACAAAGCAACATATTTCAGAATAATACCAAATATCCTGGTTCTTTTAAGATACATGTAGGAAACCTGGAGACAAGTACTGCGAATCCCCTGCTAATCAAATATTTTAAACGTCCACACAATAGCACCTATGTCTTAATACATTATGATATTCAGATCTTCTCCTTCCATGATATATCACAGCTGGAATCCTAGAAGATTTGATTACTTGAATTAAGTCATTTTTGAAGTTTATATATTGAACTTTGATAACAAAATGAACTAAACTATGATTAAGAAATAAATTTGCCTTATTGCAGTCACAGCAAGTAAGCATTTGATCTGGTTAAAGAGATATGAACCATTCAGGAAGTAGCCCTAGATCTCCTTCCTTCAATGGTTATGCTGAGGTGAATAAATAGTCCTAGAACTTAAAAAAAGCTGTTTGTTAATGTTTAAGCATTTATACTTCACTAAAAATCTCCTTAAACATCACAAGGCAATATTAAACTGATTATCTTCAAGTATTATATAGCAGATATTCAATACAGACATTGATCTCTAAAGAATGTTTAATGTTAATAAAGCATTTTAAATTAGATAAAAACAAAAGGCAGTAGCTAATGTCTTTACCTTGTTCTACATTCTCTACTGTCCCATGTTGCGCTAAAAGACCATCTAGCACCTGAAATACAAATCAGACATAAAATATAGGTAACAAAATCCTGAAAACTTGTCATTCAAATTAAGTTAATAAAGCACAAATCAGCTCTCCCTTCAACTCACTCCAACTTCACTTTATTAGCAGTCAGAATGGAAAGTGACACTTGTTTGACTAAGATGATTGAAATCAACTTTTGAATTATCCTATTTTTAATGAAGGATAAGGAATAAAAGGAATGTTTTGAAATAATTTTTGGGCTATAATTTTCTGGACATCTTTTCTGTTCCTATTTGTTTTCACATTGGTTTCATATAGTAAAAAAAAAAGACGTTCATAAAATAATGGTTCTAAGACAGGGGAGTCAAACTCATGTCATCATGGCAGCATCACATGACGTATCAGGACTCCCCCTCCCTTCCCTAACCAGTGTGACACATCTGGCCCACGGGCCAAGAGTTTAACAGCCCTGCTCTAAGGGTTTTATAAATAGCTAGATCAATTCCCAACCTATATTGATATTGAAGAGAATTAAGTACAGCTGATAGATCAGGTACAGAAGGCATATAGGTACAAAAAGGACTTGGGGTGTGTGTCAATATGTGATTGCACTATAATGAGCAGAACCAATGATTTGACTTTTCTTGGCTGGGGAGGGGAAGGAATTGAAGTTTATTAAAGACACCTATTTCACTCCATAAAACCTATGAATCTTCTTCAAGAATGGGCTTTGCACACACCTCAGTTTAGTATATCAGTCTTTCTCTCCCACACTAATTCTAGTGCAGCCTTTGAGCTGAAAGATCAAATTTCTAGTCTTCCACCGAATATAAGAATCAAAGCTACGCCTTCCCTTAGCTCGAGACATATAGATATATGTCTATATGTCTGAATATATGAATTGTCTGAATTATTTTTTCCCCAAACTGGCTCTCCAGATGCATTAGAGTTCAATTACTGTAAACTGAGTTTTTGTGGGAATCACATTCCAATTTATCAGAAGGGCATCAAGTTGAGAGAAGCTTTTCTATAATACAAAAAGTAGTGACAGAAAATCTGCCAGGCTGTGTCAAGCTATTGCTCAATTAAGACCCAGTGTGGTTTTCTACAACCACACTGAACAATGAATGCTTTGGAAGAAGGGTACAGAAATTTACAGCAAACAATGCAACCAGCAAAGCAGTCCACATTTTCAGGTAACAGGGCTATTCCAATGACTTAGCAAAGAAGCACAAAACTTTTTACTTTAAGTGCTGAAATTACTTCCAATACCACAGACAAAGTCTGATATGAGTGAGAACATATTTTATAACTGGGATTCCTGATGCATAAAATCAAACTTATTCATGGCATGGGGATATTAAGCAGGAATCGATACTAACAAATATTAGAGACGATGTGGCTCAATAAAGATGCTTCGTTCTTTCCCAACTGCCCAACACAGATTGCCAGGCAGCCCCCTTTCCAAAATTAAACATTTAAGCTGTCCTTCAGCCAGTACCTGAAAGCAGAAATTCAATCACCTGATTTTTATTGCCAGCGAGTCATTTCACTAGCACAATGGCCTCTATATAAAACCAGCACAACAGTCCTTCTAATGAGTAACATCATCATATTTGTGATAATGATGACTAAGAAAAACAAACACTCATGTGTAGTCATCCCTGCAGCCAACTCCTGTACCCAGAGTGGAAAAATAATCTAGTCTTGCAACTAAGACAATTCATACAAAAAGTTCCATCACAAAATGTTCCTCTATCAACCTATGTTCTGAAGGTATCTTTTTATAATTTTAGGACTCCAAAACCATGGAAAGGAATCATACTGGCTCATCCTTTGGTTTAATTAAGTCTTTCCAATATACTATACTAAGGAAATAATAAGACACAAATTATACTCACAATCTCTCTACAGAACCATTTTCCAAAAACTGATGCTTTCCAGATACATTAAGATTTCATTCTCAAGCTATGGGTGGCCAAACATGACCCACTACCCTCATTATCCTAGCCAACTTAAGAAAGCAGATCAAGACAATCAACTTGGTTAATCTATAAATTGCTCTGTGTTTCATGGACAGCTTTTTAAAAGTCTGAAATTTAGTGACAGGATTCCTGCAATAAGCGGCCTTCTCTCTGGTTAAATAATTGTTCCACCTAGTTTGGTTTTGCAGTTCCCTCAAATTTTAAAAAAGCCTAGAGATGACACAAAAAAAATTCGGGATCTTTTATCTACATGGTATGTGCTCCAATATTGAACTATAACTCCTCTACTTAATGCCCCAACGGTAACTGATGTATTTAAGATCTCATTGTGGCTGAGGTACATTTGGAAGTAGCATTCATCACATATAAATGCCAATTGTAAGTCAGACTTTCTTAGCCTACTATATGAAACATAACTAAAACAGAACAATAGGAACACAGGTTCAAACGTACTAAATTGCAGGACGCGGTTTCCTGACTGATTGAATTAACTCACTCATATAAAAAGGAATAGAGCAGCGAAAGTTGTAGAGATAATTTGACGAGGTATGCTCATAACACCTATTCTGATATGCATATTAGAACTGTATCATTTAATGCTTAACTATTGGATATAAAATAGAGGCATATACAGTGTTTAAAATTTTAAATGGGCTACTTTGACCTTACAGAAACGTCCCAAAGCTGTTTGTTCTGCTCTAACCAGAGCAGGAATACTTCTGTGTTGACCACAATGGACCATTTTAGCTTAAAGGTTTCAATTTTGTTTTGCATATACTACTAACATTGAGTCAAATTACAATAAGTACTTCATCTTCTATATGCCTACTATAATATCCTGGGTAATGTTATGGAGAAATAGTAAAAATAATACAAACATAATTTGGGGAAAATAGACAGCAGAAAATAATTAATCTTATCCCTTACCTCCCACTGTAAATGTGGAGGAATATTCCGGATTTGAATCTTCCTGCTTCTGTGAAGAAAGAGTCCACAAAGCAAGATCAAATTAGTATACTACAACAGAACATGATTTACCTAGTGTTACATCAAATTCTAGCAACCCTAATTGAATACAATGAGCCAAACTAAGATAACACAGAAATACCTCATGCACTTTGTTCCTGCAAAGTGCCTCTAACCTTTAATTGTTTTTTAATCACAACAGACAAAAAACAGAAGCAGTTCAGAATATAATTCTATACCTTTCTCCCTCTTCCTGATTAAGAAATATATGCCACATTCAATACATTTTGGAATTATAAGCAATCCATTCTTAGCAAGTAACATATAGTAAATCAACATAAAAATACATAATCCAAGATATCAACATCAAAGCATTTTATTGACATTTTTTTAAAAATGAGGTTTGTTCGGGTGTGCAGTCTAAAATGTAGGAGGAATTTGTTTATACAGTACAGTATTAACATCTTCAACATGCATATGGCATTGTACAATGCTGACTGTATTAAAATTTCAAATTTCATACATAAAGTCCCATACAGTCCACTAAAAACTGTTTCCAGATAAATGCATACTAGTTTAATGATCCTGTCCCAATTGGATGAAAAAAACCAGAAATAAAAATCATTTTCCTTAACAGCTGAATGTTATTTTAACACAAAAAAACCCCAGATTAGGGTAGATTATAACCTTTATTTTATATATATATATATATATATATATATA